ACTTGAATGTGGTGTTTTGCCAAAGATACCATGCTTGTATAGCGTATATTACGTGTAGCCTAATGTATGGGGCAATAATTTGAGAACATTTTGTAGGGGTCGATCTTCCCGAACGCCTTCTGAAAAAGACATGTGACTAAACGCAGACATGACCGGGTGACTAAGTCAAACCTGCGCAGAATTAACGCATTGAACGATATGCTTAAGCTGCCAATCACTCTTTTTGTTATCGGAGATTTGGAGACCATCAAGATGAAAATACGCTGGTCCGGATAGCACTGCCGTGATAAAGTTTATTCGACAAATTACCGATCGGCTGTTTCAAATTCCCAACATTTACTTAAAAGGTGCGCCAAAGTGACTAAGCCATTGGAAGTTGGTATCAGTAGTAGCTGTGAACTAGATGCCACATTGTAAAGGCAGTAGTTTACTCTTGATAACAAGTGCTTTGTGATAGGGGCAACAAGTTTTTCCTTGCCAGTTAGGGATCCGGATCACCAGAATGCAAAGCTCGCAGCTGGCTGTTTTTGGTATAGATGGTGACATTTAGTATGTTACCGTTACAAAACAACTTTGTTACTGACAAATCGGTAATGGGTTCCAGTGAATTGTAAAACACCCGAGTCATTTCGAAAGTCAAGACCAGGCATAAGCTGCGGTACTATTTTTGAAAGGAGTTATGGCAAACTTAGTTTGATCTCGATACAATCCACCACTACCTGTACAATACTGTTTTCAAAATAGACCGGCCGTCAAACAAAACGAAAAGGAAGCCCTAGACAACTGAATTTCATACAGTCACACAGCCGAGTAAGCAATCTAAGTAGATGCGTTTTAAATTAAGAGAATCAATAGTTTAATCAATTAATTTGCAGTCTACATGGGTAAGACAAACGAGGGAGATTCAGGAATGGGCATACATAAAGGCGTAATTGTTCAACAACGCCCTACTTGATGCTGTGCGGATGTAGGGCAACTGTTATAATTGAGCAAATAGGAGCATGCATGCGTAAGGTAGTCTTGCTTCAACAACAAGGTTGGAAAGAATCTCAAAACAAGTAGGGAGGGAAACAACGACATGCCCGAACAATCGAAACGTTCTTAATATCCTTTACCTTGCGTAAGACAGTTTTAGATAACGGATCAAGTATACGTGGGTAATTTGTCATATAAAAATTAATACTTGATTGTTGGATCTTGCAGTATTTACCATTTCCAATATCTCGGCCTAACAATTGCACCTAGTGATTCTAGATTGAATAAAGGATTCAAATGCAGATACTAACCCTATACATCTCTCATAAGAAAGGAATACTATATAAATAGTAAGCAAAAACTGTGCTTCGAACTTAGGCTTCATTGAATAGGTTGATGAGATAAAAGAATGCACCTGATCATACCAGTTTCCTCAGCCAGATTCGCACTTTTTGTGTTAATGGGAAACAACAAAGAGTGAGAATCTCTGGGTATACGGTGTGTAGAAAACCAGCTAATCAAACTTCCTCAAAGTAGATCAACATTACAGAAGTACTGTATTTATTCTTTAAGATCACATGTTATGCGTGCCGGTACGAAGCCGGTGGAGAACAACAGATTGACAGCGCACTTCGAAGAATAAAACTAAGCGAGTTCAGCAAGTGGGTATTATTATGGTTCTTGTAGGCCGCTAAATATGCTGAAATGTTTGGGTATTTGATGTCCAATCATGTATTTTAATAAATTTTGCCGGGATACCGTGAATGAATGAATGCATATTTTTGTATTGCTTTGGCAGTCACGTTAACACTGGCCGATGTGCATAGAGACACAATAGTTCATGCAGTCCAGCAAAATTGCACGGCATACTGGTTGTCAGAACCTCTACTTTTATCTTTCCCCCCACCAAACAACATAGGACTGACAAGCAATTGGTTATGAAAATATCAGTAGTTTATATTCTGATAAATATTTTAATCCTGAGCACAGTTATACTCGGTTAAGCTCTGGTGGAAAGTCATTACTGTTGGGAAAACCGGTTGTCTACGCAGACTGATTTTAAAGTGGATAGTAGCGCCAATTACTTTCCACAGAACTAAAACTGACACTAACACGTTCATTCGAGAGGTTACCTTTCCATCGTTTCTAGATGTGTCAGTGACTACACGGTTGGTTACATCCTCATCTAGGTTTGCCTGTTACTGTGACGTCCATAGGACAGCCACAGTACTCCTGTGCCTACAGAGGGACAAAGGGTGGCTTGCTCTGCACAACCCACAGCTCCATCCACACACCCCATATGCAGTGTAAAAATTAAGGGGCAACACTGTGTGCCACGTTTAATCAGTGGAGCCGGCACACACTCCTTCAACATACACAACAGCAGCATTCCTGTTTGGCTACATTAAGAATTATGCGTACCAGACGTACAGATATCGGTGGCTGGGTCGTATTCCTTCCACACTGGATGGAAATACTCTTTAATACTAGCATGTTCACGAGGACCGGGCACTCATCATCATCATCATCATTATACACCTCAGTTAGAGGTGGGAAACACCTCAGCTACTGTGCCGCGATACATAAGGAAAAGGAACATAGATACAACAGTTGCATGCCAGCTGAGCTACCAGCAACGGATAAGCATCGTTCCGGTAAGCTACCAGCCGGCTACTAGGCAAAAAGAAAAATTATTATGTTTTACGCTACAAAATGAGATTGTAGATGGAGGGGGAGGTTAAAAAAGATGGGGTGGGACAAAGCAACTCACAGCACGAAAGTCACTGAGGTCGGCTCTTGCCATGTCAGCAAGTGTATCCAACCAAACGTGTTCATCGTCTTTTGTACCCCAACCAAGAGCCGTGATGCTCCAACCGAGGCCAGCTCCAAAGTCAGGGCCATCATTCCTCTTGACCAAGTCATCGCTTGGCCACCTCTCCTCTTCTTCAGTCCACATCCCCGGTGAGCAAACAACGTACGTTGTGGAAGTCGGTGGGCTGGCATGCGCAACACGTGGTCTAGCCATCGGAGCCTGATGCGTGAAATGACGGTGCTGAGCACTTCAGTTCCTTTGTCTGTGCCATAAACAAGGAGTCGAACACGCCCGTTACTCGCGCGGTGTTCCCACCGGCTGTGAGTTTAACTGCGAAGGTACCGATGGTCGAACGTAACTAGCCTCTTCATGTCCGCCGATCTTATGGGCCAGGTTTCGCAACCGTACAGTAAGGTCGAACGTACCGCTGCATTGTACACTCTACCCTTCAGGGCGAGAGTGATGTCGAGCCGCCGTCATAGGTGGCGAAGGTTAGCGAAAGCATTTCAAGCTTTTGCTATCCGATTCATGATCTCGTCTGCGATCCCAAGGACTCTGAAACAACTTCACAGGAAGTTGAATTTCTGAATGACTTCTAGCTGATCCCCACCAAGGGTCAGCGCAGGAGGCGATCCCTGCCAATCTTGGAGGAACGCTTTGCATTTCGATGGTGCAAAGCAAAGTCCGAAGCGGCTGATAGCCAGTGCTAATCTGTCCAGCGCGGCTTGGCACGTCTGGGAGCGGTCACAGATGAGCGCAATGTCGTCTGCATACTCCAAGACAAGAAGTCGTTCTCCTGGGAGTAGCTCCACACCTTCCAATCATGTCCTGTAAAAGCAAACTCCATGACTTCGTCAATAGCGAAGTTGAAGAGGAAAGGTGACAGCGTGCACCCTTGTCTCACACCGCTGGAGATATTAAAGGGTGGCGACAGCTTTCCGTAAGCCCTCACTCTGCCCGTGCTACGCGCATATAATGCTCGAATAATATTTACATATTTCTCAGGTACACCTTTCCTGAGTAGACAGTCCCAAAGTGCAAGTCTATCCACAGAATCCATTGCACCTTTGATACCGAATAACACGACTACGGTGGGTCGCCAATATGTGTGGCGGTGCTCCAACAACTGACGCAAGGTGAAGACGTGGTCGATGCGGCCACGACCCCGATGAAACCCGGCTTGTTCCTCACGAATCTGACTTTCATGAGCGCCAGTCAGTCCGTGAAGGATTATGGAGGCGAGTAATTTGGTGGCGATGGAGATCAGACTGATTCATCTATGGTTGCCGCATTCCGAACGCGAGCCTCCTTTTAAGATGGGAACAATAACGGAGCGGCTCCAGTCGGTTGGGACAGTCTCCTGTTGCCACCGTTTCACTAGTAATTCATATAAAGCATCAACAAGAGCAGAGTCTCCGAATTTGAAGAGGGTTGGAGGAAGATAGAACCGGACACTGCGTCTCCCTAAATAATGATCAATTGGCTTTTGCATCCAATAGAATCGATGCAGCGATTTTTCCACAGGTAGACACATTGTTAACATTCACTTCAACCGCAGCCACACCGGGAACATCAAACAACCAACATAGAATTTGAAGGAATAAACGCGCCAAAGTGACACGGAATATGCAGAAGAATAGGAGAACTGAGCAAAGCAAATAAAGTGGAATACTTTGAATATATAGCCAAGAAATAGGCGTACACTGTGTCAGCTAATCTTGATTCACTTGTATATGCTTTCAGTAGGCAAAAGCAACTTACTGAGTTAATTTGCATGATTGTTTGAGTAGCGTGTTAACTACTCTGCGTTGCAAGGAAGTCATCCTTGCTTGTCCTCTGGAGAGAAAGTATGCCTCTGAAATGAACATAAGCAAAAGTTTTTTCTCTGACTCTGTATACATCAGATCTGTCTATGTTCAATGAAACACATTAATCTGACAGTTTCTACCCACTTGAAATGTCCGTTTTTCACATGTAGGGAAGATGTGCGATGCAACTAATGTAGCTAGTTGCGCCAGACATCGGTAAGAATTTTGCAAGCTGGCTTTAGTTGTTTGTTGCGCCAGTAATTCTAAGTAGTTTGAAACAGGAAAATATTGATAATTTTGCTAAATTTTTGCTTTATTATTTGAATGATATCGTCAAAATAAGTATCATACAAGAGAGCATTTTCAGATGCTCTTAGGTTGGTTCTTTATATTTTGCTTTGCAGCCAAAGCGGTGAATATGGACGATCACAGTCAGCAACACTACCTCTTCACTATGCTTCGAAATCAACCCATTTGGCAGTCTACGCGATTTTGGAACGCCGCATTTTTCATTGGTTTACAAAGCGAACGAAAACGACTTGCCATACCACCTGGGTGAGTCGTCGTAAATGATTGATTTACTAAACGGCACCAGCATGTGTTTGCGTTGTCTTCCTTGATGTCTGTTGAATTTTGAGTTAGATTCATGTTGGCGCTTGTATTTACTGTTGGGACTTGCTAAGCCGCAGTGAACTAATTGCATTGGCCCTGCTTATTAGGTAACGGTATAGGAAAATAGTACCGTTTTTTACTCAAGGTGTGTTGGAGGTAGGCACTTATTTAGGAAGGTGGTGAGAGATGTTTTTTTTTCAAAATTCATTGCCCGATATTCATTTCAAATTGAAACAATTGATAACCGTTCGCACAATACGGCGTGGCGGCGGTGCGATTTACTTGAATTTTTTCACTAGTCAGTAAAGTTGGACGCACATTTTCTCAATCCATTGTCAATTTAAAGGCACAGAAATGAATGAGATAATAACAGTCTCAGAGAATAATCTGTGCCATAGTAGAATGAGGTTGCCACACCCTGGTTGGGATTCAGCGCCCCTATTCGAAACAGCGATTCTGCTCTGATAACTGTACCCAGTGCGCACAACTGGCTGATTAATTTCGGTTAAACGTGTGCCGAGTGACTTACCCGACCAAAGCTTCTTCCTGACTGTACCATGACTAACACGGATACCCTGCCACTACTCGCAACTCAGAAAGAAGAGATGGCCTTCGGAGAAGAGACTTTACTGCCCCAGCGAAGGACATACAAACTACAATCTGGTATTCATAGCACTTGGGACGTTGTTTTCGAGAGAACGGCGCAGTTGCCACTTGATAATGAAACGAAGATGGTTATCGGAAGGAAGCAGATGCCATCGGATAACAGTATCACTAAGGGAATCACGCCATCAGCAACCTGGTAACAGTGTCCCTTGGGTAGGACAGAGATGACTGCCAACTGATAGCGCTATCACCGATGACGCATCTCGTAACCGTGCCACCGCAATAAAAATAGCAAAATAGGAGAACAGAAAGGCGTCCGGCGCGACGTTTTGTGGAGCAATGTAATCTCAATAGCCCATACGATTGACAGTTGAGGCACTAAACACAAAAACAGTTAGACAGGCTCAGACCTGTGGTGCTTATAACTTCAGATAAAAAAGTCATTTGCACCGTCGAACCCGTAAAATTGCCCATGCTGATGCAGCAAATTAATCAGAATTCAAGTGGCAATCGTGGCAATTCTGTGAAAATAGAATTGCGCCGCAGTGTAGTTCACCTTCACAATCGTCTCGTGGACATTTGATTTATGACCGAAGCTGTTCCTGCATGGAAGTATGATTTTGAAAAAGGGTACGTAGTTTGCTACAGGTGGAGAAGTTGAACCGGACGGTTGCACAAATATACTCGAAAAATGTCGTTATCGGCTAACCCTGAGAGTTTTCTTATCATTGAAATGTATTTTGTTGACCGAGCTCCCGTCTTCCTAACCTGGCTGACTATAGTGCTCTGTTGTCATACGTCATTGAAGTTGGCGTATGTGCCGTGGCATCAAATGGCTTTCTTCTGGTGGCAACCCAATCGGTAAGTGTATTCGTGGAAGTAAGTTGTTACAGAAAATTGTTGTATTTCAGCTAAACAATAAATTTAGCTCCACTAGTGAGCAGCCACGTGAATTTATAGTAAGACCACCGAATGTGCTTACCTCTGAGCAACTCTCCAGGTTGACAGTTTTAGTTTTTATTACTTGAACGGATAAAGATCTCTGCATGCTGACCATTATGACCAGTAGGTGGTTACGGAAGTTATTGAACTTGGCTGAGAAATAACACTGATCCCAAACGTGCTAGCTACGTGTTGGCATAAGTACGAGATGACTTATTGAGTAAGTGGAGTCACTTCGAAATGTGCCATCTTTGCTCCCATATAATTGAGAAGTGCATACACCTTGATACTTTGAAATGAAAACTAATACCTCAAAAACTCTGTCCGAATAAACATTCCACGAGTGTATTACCCCCAATCTCGTTGGCTTAATGCAGTTGCCTCGTATGCCTCAAGTTTCTGCTTTGCTGAGCAGAGAATTATTTATGATACTGCTAAAAGCAAACTGCGCAACCGCATCACTAAGTCAGACTAAGAGCAAAGAACCAGCTTCAAGTAACTTTTTCCACGTAAAGTTGACACAATTTCTAAACCATGTTTCAGCTTGTCCGAACAAAAGACCCTGGAGGTGGAAAAGGAAGCTCAGGACAATGCAACGTTCGTACAAATAAGGTACTTGTTCTCGTGCTTTTTTCAACAGCTGTCGCCCCCTTTCGGTACTTTACTCAATTGCACGTACCCGCAACATCATTCTTATTGTTCCAACTCAATAGCCGGATACTTCTCTCTAGGACATGATGAGATTTAATGGACCATTCGTTCGTTCAAAGAAGTCATAACTAGCTTGCCTTAAGTCTAATTTATTTTGATTAAATCATGTTACGCTAATTAGCTCTGACATATTGCCACATCACGCTTGATAAAATAGTTATATGGCTTATTATGCGAAATTTGTAGTTAGGAACTGTGAGCATGATTGATGTCGCGGGTAAAGTATTTCTTCTTTCCACTGGGCTAGCACCGTGTCAGTGCTCAAGGATACATCAGACATACTCAACAATGGCAGCGGATGTCATTTGCTCCCAAGTTGACAACCAGGAGGATAGATATTGCAGGACCACGAATCAAACTACTGGCTAAGAGAGTACCGGAAAGCATCTTTTCTCTTACGCAATCGAGTTACTGATAGCTCTAGCCCCAACGATTAGTAAATCACTTACTTCGACGCATGATTGCAGATTGATGCTAACTCACCTAACAATACGACTAGCGACGGGATAGTAAGAAATGTAGTCATAATAACATAAAAGTAAGCGGCTTTAACACAATAATCGATATGCTGTTGTTTGTGGAAATTGCCTTTGCATTGTTTTTGTTTACAATTCAGCAAATTCATCTGGCGCATGTACTCGTTGGGAATACCGAGAGAATCATGTCTTGATTTCTTACGCAAACAAGCAAGCGCTGAGGATCTCTCAAAAGGTAACTAGCACTCTGTCTAGTATTCATAACATGTGAGAACTGTGATATTTATACATGAGTCTAGAGTGATTTTTAAAGCAACACTCAATCAAGTAGAGCGTAGGGATCATTATCGAAGGGGTGTTTATGCTCTCCTGAAGGCAAAGAGTCTGCACTCTCTGATCCAACGCGCAACCACGTGTAGGTCTCTTGTGCTTGGCATCTTTATTATGCATTGTTGTTGGAATATAAGCATAGCTGCAGTGTACCCCAAGTAACTCATATGCAAACCCTCGCACTACTGATTTATTAAGGGTACATACATTGCCATTCAACCTGTGAAGCACCAAACACCTTGGCTGGTTTATCAACTGCAAACAAGAACAAATATCCCAACGGACATTTCGGGAGTTGGTACTAGCAAACACTAACGGCCACACCTAATTCGTAATACCGTTTTGATGCACAAACATCTGCTTGCAGGCGGTGATCCATTCTCAACCGATATAAACCGCATTGATAAGTATCTTCAATCCTCTGTCTGACAATTGTTGATTGTGACACTAAAAATTGATTGATCAGAATATCAATCCCCACTATTATATCCGTGACAGATAGCAGATCCTATTACGAAATGTTTACAACTAACTGAGATTTCATCAGCCATCCATAAGCTAGTACTTGAAAGATGTTATACTTGTCAGGTCATTTGGGAGAATTATTGTGGAATTAGCTCACATCCAAGAATCACATCGGCTGGTCAAGTTATGTTAAGATGCTACTACAGTAATGAGTTGTGCACACCTGCTCATCCCTGGCTGTTGATTTAAACAAGCTTTTGTTTAAGACCGAGATATCGACACGAGACTGGCAACGGCAAGATAATAGCACCGGTTTGAGGTTCCATTTTTAGGATGCACTGATGTATGCACTCGTTTCGGGTGCGGGGTAAATATTGTTCTCCATTTCGCAAAGGATACATGGAATCGGTACGCAATTCCAAGCCATTTAACGGTCAAAAGCATGTATTCTTGTTCGTCACAATCAGCCGACAATTCAGATATGTCGACCAGCTATCCGGAAAACCACCAGACGGCCGTTTCGCCCTATTGGGGCTCATCAGTGGTGCGCATCCTTCGGTCCTCTGCGGAGGATTGAACCCATGACTGCTAGCGGCTCTTGCCAACAACATGCAGCTTATACAACTGCGCCATGGAGGACGGTATCCGACCACCACGACTTGTTAGCTAAATGCGATATAGCCCGACCCATGCTGACGCCGGAAGGCCAACCGCTGTCATCTGCATGGCAGGTGCCTGCATGGCAGTGGAGGATGGTTCAGATTATATCGCATTTAGCTAACAATTCGTGATGGTCGGATATTTTTTGGACAATAACCCACGATGTGATATACTACACAGCTGTAGCGAACTGCAGAAGAAAGCACTAAACGTTTCACTATGTTTGCATCTGCAAAATTGGATTAAAATTTACTGGTCTCTTAAGCATACAATGACTGTAGATGCCATAATTACGCTGTCTCAAATGTTAGTGGAAAAGCTGTACACCGAGTCCATCATTGCCCATCTCCTGATTTTGTTATTTTATTAGAAAAGATCCGGAAATTACAAGAAAATCTGAGAAAGTTCTTTCAGACGCAGGAGGAGAATATAAATGCCATCCGGCAGGAAGTCAGAGAATAACTTGCTACTTCGGCTGTCAAACACACTTCCTTATTCAGATGAACAAAATGCCAAGCTATCGATCCAGAGTCAGACACATTATACATCCGAATGCTGTGCCGTAAACTGTACCTCTCAAATATTCGTTTCATTTAACCATTCGCAACGGTTCAAGTCCACCTTCATCGCCAACGTTGATTTTCTTTAGTTATCCCGGTTTATACACTACATACGAGACTTTTGTCGCGTAAGCACTTTTCATTAGTCTAATGAATATAACCGAAATGTCATGAAATTTGCCCCCTTTATGCTTTCACTGATGGCCGAATAAAACCCATTTGTTTTCTATCCCGAGGGTTTTAAAATCCATATTGAGCAGAGCAAACCCTAGGGGAATTTCGCTTGCAAATGCGCACCATCTTAGGTAAACATGTCCTAAACGAAACTAGCGAACAAGTCCCATTGTTCAGCAATGTCCATTTCCGCATTTTGCCTACGCATGAAATTAAAAATGAAACTGAAAACCTTTTCAAAACTCTCTTTCATATAGATACTACGAGCCGTCATCGGTTTTCGTCCATGCAGCTGTACAATTTGACCGAAAAATATTTGGACTTTCTTGCACCGCAGCCAAATATGCTATTTCTCTTTTCGTTGTCATTACTTTATTGCCTATCTACCTCCAGGTAGGTTGTATTCTTCTTTAAATCTTTGCTGACCATGACTGGGTCGATCTCCTGAGGTGGCGGGTTATAGCTTCCAAAGCCGTATTGTATTTGGCTTCCTGGCGAGAAAAATGCTTAGATTCAAAAATACCATTTGGCTCTGAGGACTAGAAAGCTTGCGCGTCTACACTACATACACATAAATACAAGCCAAATAAAGCGTTACAGAGGTATGGGCCCTCCTGCCTTAAAAGCCATACTGGCGAACGGCCAGAGGGTGCATAGAAATGCGGGTGAAACCCATGGATGGAGTACTTCACAAGGAAGGAGGTCCCAAGCAGACGGTTTCATGGTTGGCTGTATTACTTCAGTTCGTAAATTATTCCAATCGAGACAGCAATTAACAATTGCGCGAAGAATATTCTTTTCGATAACTCACTTCCGGCATCTACAACAAAAGTAAGAAGTAGGTGAATTATTGAAAGCTTCGTCACAGATACGCAAAAAATGATAGTTAGGTAGAGCGATATAATATATCAATCGGTAGCTTGTTTAATCAGACCACGCAGCATGCGCAAACACGCGCGATCAGCTCTGAAAACTTAGCGTTGCAGCGAGTTCATAGCCAAGGTAAACTCAGAGCTTTGTCTACCTTGGCAGCTGCGTGTCTGTCGGTGGCTCTATCGAGAAGGAAGTTTCTCTTCGCATCGCTAATGCTCGGCCAGCGTTCGTCAACTTGAAGCACTTGTGGCGTCGTCGGGATATCTTCCTATTGATAAAGGGTCGCGTGTACAGTGCCACCATTCGGGCCGTGTTACCATATAGAAGTGAGTCCTGGCCAGTTCGCGTGGATGACATGCTCCTGCTATCGGCTTTTGACAATGGCTACTTGAGCAAGATTACTCATGTGTGGTGGCTTCAACGTAGTTCAATGGTGAAGTCCAGCGTCCTGTCTTAGGGAATGAGAGTATGCCTCACAACAAGCTGGTTTTGCTGCGTCAGCTAAGATGTCTCAGTTCTGTTTTACATGTCAGCTGAGCGTACTTTTTGCTCGCGAAGAGCTTGATTGGAAAAGACCGCGTGGCAGACAACCGACCGTTTGGCGTCACTATATGAAATCGTTGATTTCACGTCTTGCTGCCATTGAATCCCCACGCCTGCTTGGTTGAGGGCCAAAGGATGAAGAGTGCCGATGGCTAGCATGATTGCAAGATATGGCACGCAGTCGAAATCATTGGAAGATTTGTGTACATACTTGTTTGGGCGCAGATGTCTAACGCGTAGCAATTGAAAACGACCAAAAAATATGAAAATGGCGTGTGGAAAGTAACAAAGACTATGCCGTTCTTCTTATGGCACAATAGCTCACCTTCAGCTAATGCACCATTATGATAAGATAGTGATTAAACCTGTATTCTTTTTATGATCACCATGGCTTTGTTTTGTTCTTTTTCTATTCGGTAGACTGTTGCCAATCCATACATACATACAAACTCGAAGCTTGTATGACTTCACAAGAACATTTGGCTTAATCTAATTTCATGATTTTAGACAACCACTCAAACTTCCAGAAATCGCGCTCGCAAGCAACAGTGTATGAAGTGTTTCATACAATCCCGCTGCATTTAATGATTAGACCATTCAGTTGGAATGCGCTTTGCGCTGTCGAGGAATATATGGTTGATTTTTATTCGCCACAGTTTCGTATCGTTCATGCAAGAGCACGGTATTGCATGATCCGTACCAAATACGGAAGCAGCTTCTCAGTTGAAGCGAAACATACCTATTATTATCGTTATCATAATATAAAAGTCAACCGTTGTTTATGTACAATTTTATGCGAAATCTGAAAGGTGTATCAAGTTGTTAAACATATAAGGTGTAAATATACCCTGAATTTTAAATGAACAGTCCAGTCGTTAACTGAGTACCGTTGCCGTTCCAACAAAAGCGCTTATTAAGCTTTTACTCAAGATATACGAGCCAAAGTCCAAGCTAGTATGGTTTGCATTCTGTGTCGTTACAATGTCTACATTGGGTTAAATCCCGAAACTCTCCAGAGTATAACAAAGAATGAGCAACTGACTTACGCTGGCAGAATCAACGACTCAGATGATAAATCCCAGTGTATCCGAACACAATTTCTTGGGATCGGAACAGAAGCACCGTCAGTCTCACAGAGGGACATGGAAATACGATGACCGTGACAGGATATCACACCGCATGTCTATTATATTTGAGTTGCAACTCTGCTTACTTGGTTATTTGCATAGTGGCGGTCCATGTCGTAGGGAGCGATACCACATGCGCGCTTACAGTGGCCAACTTTATTGGCTTGTTTATACAAATCACTGAGATAAGTTTCTTAGATCCGTTTTGTTTGGATTCCATTCCCCCCCGAGTTTATTTGGGAATTAGATACTTGTGTTTCGATAAATACTAAAAACAAATTCCCACTGATAGTTCTTTTAACTGCACCTTAGACGATGGCAAATGGATGAGTGTACTTCGTCCAACATGGCTTGCATAACGGCTGTCATAAAGAATGTACATAAATGAATCGTTCCGCTGTGGAGGAAAGTCTTCTTGGAGTGAGGTAATTTTAAATAGTAACCTTTGTCTCCATAACATCTTCCGCAATCTACGTAAGTTTGCGCGAAGGTGTGTGATCACACTATATTTTAGCATCGCCGTGCTAAAAGCTTAATGGTTTAAAACAGGTACAAATATAAACGCTTGATAGAAGTCTCGTAGGACGGTTAAGGTGCATCTTACAAAGTGAACACACAGTTTGGAGATAATAATGTGAAACTTACAGGACTCACCAACGTTAGTACTGCATGGATGTTAAGGGTGTGTGTGTGTGTCACCGTCTGCTATTTCTGTGCTGCTACCGTCATATGATTGTCACGAAATGTTTATGTGCCACTGTGTCATCAAATCCTCTTCCGAATACTGATAATGTGGAGAAGGATTAAGTACGTGCTCTGGGAGAAGGTTTCAGAGCTGTGATATGTTCTAAGGGCGAAAATATTACCTTGACATTCCGATCGGCTGTACTGCTTGGTCCGCTTTAATTCAAGGTTCCTCAGATGTGTTTTGACTGAATTTAAAAAGATCATGACAAGTGTAGGTGGTATATAATACACCATTCTGAGTTCGTCCCGTAGACGCTACTGTGCAGTTTTAGAGTTTACAACTTAAGCTGGTAACTGGTTAAGACAAATACTTAAAGGTCTTCACCGTTCGTTGTGCGGTTTCCAGCACGTGAATGTGGCGCTTTTACCAGAGCTGCAACGCGTGTATAGCATATTCAAAGTGCGGCTTTATGCTCACACTAAACATTTGGAGTAAAACATTTCGAAAGCTCAACACAGGAAACCTATGTAGAGATGCTTTCTTTGACGCTATTTCAACCCGTCCCAAACAGACAAGGTCATGTTGTGCGAGCACACTGGGATGTTTTGGTTATGGTTGAAATTTAGCTGAATTGGAACACACATCCTTTTGTTAGATTCGGTAATCAAAATCAAACATTTGATTCTGCCATAATTTGATATCAAACCTGTAAACAGGTTACTGATGGAACTATATGTCTCACTTTTGACCAGTTGCCATTTCACGAATTTTTCATTTGTCGTTACGCTGAGTCATAACAGATAAGCGGTCTGTTGTCGCGTGTCACAAAGAAGCTAAATTTTGGCCATTTCCGAAGGTAGGTAAAATTTTGATTTGCAACTAGTCATGTAAGCTTGAAATTTCCGAAAAGCAACTTCGGCTTACCCTGACTTCTGACCTTGCTATGCTATTTATTAAAATTCGGTCACTTTGTCGAAAACATTTCTTAGTAGTGTGGAGCAGAAGTCTACAATCATTTCTACTTTAAATATACACACTGTAAAGATATTATGAATGTATGAAACTGCTATAATACTCGCTCGGGTTCGTTGTGCTGCAGGAACTTGTATAAACTCATCGCCAACAACCTACTAAGTAATAGTGGTTTACGTCCAAGTTATATAGTGGAATGCAAAATACACACACAGACAAAGTAAACGAGCTGAAACTTCATTGCGCTTCAGTAATATCTACTAATGCTTGCTTTCTATCCAGAAACACTACGGTTCTCCGATGCGAGCTGATACATTTTAACAGCTTGAGGATAACATTTACCTTACAGTTAACCTGAGAAATACGGACGTGCAGATCAATCACTTTTATCTTTCTCTGAATTATAAATCACCAACTTGCTACACAGTCTTGTGCTCACATTCATTCGACTCGGTTTCATCAGCCCTACAAGGTTGGTAGTTCATTTTTGGATTATTTTTATCGCTTCAACGTTCGATCTACTTCTGTGTTTATGTACGATTTGTTACTAATATTCACGCGAGAAGCACCTCGGTTTTCACGTACGTGTTGGATTTCTTTCTTTCGTTCCAAAGTGCTTGCTGAAGGAGATCGAGTTAACAGGAAATCGTAGTGCTTCAATACCATTGGCTGTCTCCGTCTCACACTTTACGATACGCTGCTTCTCATCCAGCATTCATTCGGAATTGATTGTTATCCCAGTCACTCGCCGTTTTTGTGATTGTTAGCCAGTGCGCTTGCATTACCCGGTACACGA